AAAGCCACTACATTACTGGGACGTGAAGCATAAAGTCAATAGTCATAAAGCAGAGGCAATTTAAGCTCAATTTACTTTCAGGATTAAAGTTATTCAACTGTTTTGCTGATTTGAGACCTTAAACTCCAAGAAAGCAAATAAAATCAAGCATCCAGGTGTTTGGAGAAGGTGACGATAAACAGAGTTTACAAAAAATCAAAGTGCTGTGGAATATTGTGGAGGTCCAAGATAAACGGTTAAAAAACAGATTATCAACAGAAACAGAACATAGAATAGAAACAGAAAAGAGATTTATCAGTAGTTGTCAGTTTGAACCACTGATGCACACTTCGAAGCCCCCAAGATACACGGTGGCAGAAGCCAGGCCATCCCGCTGGAGGAAGTATCACATCGCACATTCATTGTTCCTGCAGGCCTCAGAGCAGCTGTTCGTCAGGCAGGGTGCCAGCCTCCACGGAGTTTGGCCTGACCTGGCGTGGCACTTAGGATTCTTTCTCAGTACCAAGAAAATCCACTAGTATAAAATCCAGATGACTTTAAAACATTTCTAAGGCAGAAGCACCCTATGCTAGGAAATCACAACTTCAGTCTTTTGAGTTCCTTCACTGGTTAGAGACCCTTAAAACTTTTCTTTGTGCTGTCTTATCTAGTCTAATGTTAACGTGTGAGGTGCCATAGCACTGAACAGTTGAAACTACTCCTTACTTGGATAAAGCCAGTTATTTTGTATTAACTATTCAAACAAACCAAAGACCATTTCAGAGAACATGTTAAAGAAGTTCAGGTGTTTTGGTCTTTTTAAGCATCATACTAAGTTTTAAAAAATTTTTATTGCAACTCCACACCACAGGATTGGGCCAGAAGTAGCACAAAAATGGTAACTCCAGAAGGACTTCAAACTACAGTGTGTTGTTTGATCCGAAACAGAATTAAATCTCACTGTCACAATAAAACTTGCTTACACACTGAAAAAACATGTGCAACCTCTTGGCTGTTCTTTACTTGACGCACCTCAGAATCGACTGACGTAATTCATGAAGCAAAAAACATTTGAAAAAGCTCAGTAGTTTCCTCTTCAGTAAAGAAACATTTCCATCCTCCTACTGCAGTTACCAACCTAAATACCACCTTTACGTACTCTGTGGTAGCAGACAGAGCTTATTAGCTGCAGAGGAGCGCAAGCCCAAAGAGGCTCTGTGCCATGCAGAGCCATCTCGAAATACCAGGGTGGTCAGATGCCTGCTGCCGTGAAGACGACCAACACTCCTCACTGGGGCCAGCTTCTCATTTGGGCATTTGTGAACAAATACTAAGGAGGCATAGATACTGTGCTCTGCTTTCGTACAGCTATTCTTGCATACATAACTGAACAGAGAAAGTAATTTTGAGTCCTTAGGGGCTGAAAACAGCTATCATATTTTCTTATATTTTCCTACAGTGTTTTCCATTTGTTTTTACAGCTGTCTTCATGTTCTACAAGGTCTGAAGTTTCACAAGTTTGTATTTTCAGCTTCAAGTCCAGAAAAAGATCTTTCCAGAATTTAGCACTATGTAAAAGCTAAACAGTGGTGTACAGCACTCTGCCCGATCACTTCAATCTATTTCTACATATGTGTATTACTCTACTGAATATTAATATCATGTTTTCCATGGGAATTGAAGATACTGCGTATTCTTTTCCAAGAGGGCATAAAATCTAAAACAGAGCGGGAGTACAGTGAAGTGTGAAGAATAAAAGTCAGAGGATACAGAAAGAAACAGTTTATCGTACTAAGAGCTGCCCGATTTCTTTCCTTCTCTTAAACAAAGGTACAAATTAGAATAATAAAGAGGAAACAGCGAAAGGAACAAGCCGTGAACAAGTACAGAAACTAAGGACAGATTAGAAAGATAGATTAATAATCTGAATTTACTCACCTATGAACTCTAAGTTTAAAAAGCAATGACAATGGGAACTGTGCTTTCAGAATTAGACTTTTGATTTTCTAGCACTTATACTTAGCAAATTAGTGGGGACTGAAGCAGCAACCACCAAGTACATTTTCTAGAAGTCAGCTAGCAAAAAACAGTTCACTAATGCAAAAAAAAAAAAACAAAAACAAACCAAAACCACTTTTCATCCCCTTCACCCAACCACAGCTACTGAAAATCTTCATTCAGATGTAACAGCACTTGCTTCAGGTTAAAGTAAATAAATCATTTAGTTCTGATAAATATTGATCTGAGAGAATTCCTAGCTGAGAAACCTTGGGCAGTTTTAGCAGGTGTTTCAATGCTGAGCTCTCAGGACTCCAGAGCATTGGCAGAAATGGCTGCAGACCCAAAACTCCCCTCTTCACACAGCTATGGCTCCAATATACCACTGCAATATAAAGCAAGAACTCTCCCAGCATCTTCAGATCTATCATAACATGGGTCAACTATGACTTAAGTTCTCCACAAGCAACACTAATTATATAATTAGTGACCTTGTTTTGAGCAACTATTTGATAAGTTTAGCTTTTTAGGAAGATTTGAGGGCATCAAAATATTTGCAGTAAAGCTTAGAACAGAAATCCTTAAAAGCACTATGTTCTGAACATATGTCTTTCATAAACTGACTTAGAAGTGAATTTCAAATCACAGAAAAAGTATTTTTGGAAACAATAAGGAGCCATCAAGACACATGAAAGAGAGGACTTGTTGAACTTCCCCTTATCGTAGTCCTGATCTTCACTGAGCTATATGCAGGTATCTCCTTCTACGATGCTTCGAAACAAGTCTTCTATAGTATTAGCCTAGAATATTTTGCACAGCAGTAATTCTGTTTAGACACAAATGTTTAAGATCACAACATAAGTTTCAAAGCATATACATCTGCCAGGATTTGGGGCATGGGGAGAAGGTAGGCTATAAAGAAATAAGACTTCTAACAATGTAACAGGTAAGCAAGCTGTCATTCTAGACAACAACACAGCATTTCTTGAAAACTTAATTCAATTTTTACTTCAAATGTTTTCAGTATTTGCCTAGTTTTTAAACAGACATTTTCATTAAGTTTAGTATGTTTGGAAACTGATGTGTTTCCAAATTATACTTTGTGCCTTTGATTAAATACACAGCAGTATCTTTATAGGAAGATTCTACTGAAACAGCCAGAAAAAACAACATCAGGCCTTGACACTGTAGAATAAACTTTGTTGCAGAGACTACTCAGCTTATCATGAAAACCCGATTTCAAAATAGGTCTTACAGGAAAAGGTGATCAAGACTGGCTGAATATTAGTCTCATGTACTCTTCAATTCAGCAGCAAATATAAATAGCCAAAACATTTTCTACAGACATTGGCTCTACCAGGTATTCTCCATATACACCCCTACATGGATCATTTGGAAGTATTGCATCTAAGCAACTGAAACTATTCTGCCAGTTTGAAATACTGCATCTCACCTCTAGAGCTTGAAGAATGCAAACAGCAAGCCTAGCCAAAAAAGGAACACATTTTCAATTTTACAGTCAGTTTAAATAAAGAAACCTGCATTAGACCACACGGGCAGCTGAAAGGCAAATCCACTAATATTTCTGGAGTAGATTAGCAAACTAATCTCAGTGATTAACACAGAAACAGGTAAGATCTGATTAGCTAACTAGTAAACTTGTATCTTAACCAAAATGCAGAACAGTGTCTAGTCATATCTAGAACAGAACTGGTTACCAATCTTGTCAATAAGCAAACAGATCATTCTGTATGGCTTGCCAACCAATTACCTATCCCACAGCTTCATCAAAAAAGCCCTATTTTTAAAGAAGAAAATCCTTTAAGCTATAAGTAAGTTGCCCCACAAAGGTATAAGAGAAGGACAAATGGCATCATATAGACTTTTAGTTAAGCAAAGTAGACATAAACTAGCTAACTTGGCAAATAACCCACAGGAGACAGTTCAGTTCCAATATCTTACTAGTATTTTTCCCCACGCATTTCCATGTAAATACCAGGGTACCACAGACTGGACATTTTAGTCAACATGCCATTCTATGAAGCTTTTCTTTTGCACACTACATCAAATGCAGGGACAGCAGTGCAGAACTATTTCCTCTCCTTACATTTTTATTGCTACTTCTGCAAACTGCCTCCTCCCCACTACTCTTAACAGACCTACTCACACAGACCTCCGAGTCTAGTACTTATTGAAGGCAGGAGGGTTTTATTCTCACAAGCATCAGGTATTCTCTGAACATAATGTAAGACTCAATTTTACATCTACAGAAACTAAATGAGCATCTTCAGTTTTAAACTGTAGCAGTTGCCTCTGTGGACACTGAAGCTTTGAAAAATAAGCTGTGTACCTGCATTTGTGTTACACATAAAGTACAGGCATGAACTGAAGTTTATTAGTTTTTAAATCAGCACCTTTACTCTCACGAGGAGCTAAGTAGAATTCTGAATAACTGGAGTAAAACACCCCTCCATTGAGCTGAAGTATCTGCAGGTACAGTATTAGAACACTATTTCTGACTGCTTATTAGCAGTTTCTTGAGTTAATTCATTTACACAGGGGTTTGCTTGCTCTTTAGCTTTATAGAATCACTCAAACTGTAAGAGGAAGCTTATCAAACAGATTTGCACCAAGATGACTTAGAACACATTGCATGCTGTTCTCTGGGAACACAGTAGCATAACTTTTTTTGCTATCCTGTCCATGCCAACTTCCCCATAACTTCCTTGGATTTTAATATCAAGCCATTTTTCTTTGGCCTTTGCTTCAAGCATCTTTTCGTAGCTCTTTGTACTCTACATCACGTTGATGGGACTTCAAGAGCTGGGCTTTGGGAGTAAAAACTGAGTAATTTGTTATAGAGTACAGCATTGGCAAGTGTAAGAAGCCTGCTATACTACTGAAGGTGACATATCAGTACAGGAACACAAGCAAATATGTAACAGCTACAAATTCTTCAGTTTGTCTAGAAATAGCTTTTCTGCAAGAGTTCCCTTCACACATTGAGGAAAGTAAAATCTCACCCGTGTCATTTTAAAAAAGTCTAATGATGGCCTGTTCCATCGTACATCCTCCTCCCGTCTGCGCTTTAGCCGGCTTTTCTTTTCATTCAGAACGCAAGGCTGAGAGCGGCATCTCAACAAGCCCTGACGCCGGCTGAGCTCGGGTGTGGAGGTGGGAGTGCTGTTGGCTGAAGGCAAGAGGTTTCCCGTCTCAGTGATGTGCTCTTGGGAGAGGGAGAGGCGGCGCCTTGGGTTAAAGTCACAAGGGCCTCCAGAATTCCAGCGGGTACTCGAGCTTGTGCTGCCCTCGCTACTGTCCACAAACCCGCTGCTGGCAGAGGAAGGTCTTGGTACTGGTGATGTGTTGAAGCTGGTGATAGTGAAGACATTATTCAGCGACAATATGTTTTGTGGCAGACTGATACTTGTGCTTCTCTGCAAGGTTGCACTTCCGTGACTGTTGCAGCGTTGCAAGGTAGCGCTACCGCCACTATTACACCGTCTCTTTGACACAGGAGTCCAAACCTTTGAATTGCCAGGCTTCCACGGTGACCGACAGCGAGCCAGCTCATCTGGCTCAGAAAGGGACCTACAATGGCGTTTTGTTGGTGGTGCCAAGGGTTGACCCGAGTTTTCATTAAGGTTTAACTCACTTATCCATCCAGACACCATAGAAGTACTGGAAGATTCCT